AAAGACTCAAAGACCTACGTGATAAATCAAATGCATAGCGTTTATGCTTCGTCTCTGAATCAGAGAATTAGCAGAGAAAAGCATCACACAAAAATCTGTTCACAGCGAAGTGACATCTATCAGTCATGGACGATGTTCGGAAGAGACCCCTTGCAAAAATATCGCAAAAGGATTATTTTCTTTTATGGAGTCAGAGAGATGGATATTTAACGGTCCTGTATGCGATATCAACTGAACACCACGCACACCTGTGCTTCTCGGTTATGTACCCCCCTGCATAACTAATAATGTTCCCTCCTCGGAATCAAATTATTTCCCCCATTAATTTTCCTTGCTCTCTATTCGATGAAAAAAGCTCGCGGTTGATCAGACAAGTAAACGCTTTCTACTTTCATAATCTTGAATTTGTTTGAGGACAAACGCCCACACAACCACCAACTTGATCACCTTCAACTCGGTCGACCATCGATGAAAACAAAGCTAATTAAAATTTCAAACACAACCAGCTGTTTGGTCACATATCATATCAACTTTAATTGCTTAAAAGGTCAGCGGATAAATTAAAAAAAACTTATTTACCGTTGCAATTGAGAATTTTCGGTCAGTGATTGGCTTAAAAATTCTCCTTCTCTATGCAGTTGCTAAAGCCAAATAATTACATGTGTTTGTCTAAAAACTTGAATATCAGAAAATTCTTGTTCAAAAACACCTAGTCATGCAAACTCTTGGTAATTACCTTGACCCAAGCACAACTGTGAAAACATATGTGCTGCTTAACCTTCACGACTTTGCTTGGTCAGGATTTGAGAGCTGTTTTATTTCGCTGGCAAATTGATATTATTTCACGCTGATTGTATAACTAATGTCAAACTTAAAATGTCACTTTGATCTGTAGTTCTTAGGAGTCGGATATATAACGAGACGCCTTACCTACAGGTTGCTCTCTTGATCAACAGTCAGTGACATTGAAAATAGGAAAAAAGAAAAATATTATAATGGTAATTGAACTAAGTGGAGTGAAATTTGGGCTGAAATCATACGCATGATTTCAAAATCGAACGAGCGCGCAGTGCGAGTTCGATTTGAAATCACAAGTATGATTTCAGACCAAAATTGCACGACACGAGGTTCAGTTACCACTTTGTTACATCCATTTTGAAATCGCCCAAATACAGGACTTGGTCAATTCAAATATTTTACTGATGCAGTACTGAGCCGGTTTTTTAAATAAAAAGCGGAACCGGAAATCCTTTTACATCTTATTTTGTACGCAAAACAGAAAGAATTTGATGTCATGTGTCAAAAACTCAGTCAAGCGTAAAATGGTGCGATTTAGAGCAAAAAATGGTGCGATTCATGAATAAATCGCACCAATTATTGCCAATCAGATTACAGGGACCACCAGTGATTTCAAAATGGATGTAATAAACCAGTAAAATAGTGTATTGTAATAATGTGAAACCTTAAGAATTAGAACAATAATATTCCGCAAAACGACACTCACTCACACAAAAACAGTTGCATAAAGTTGTATCTATTTAATTTTTACGTATGATGCACGATCCTCGCAGTAGATAGCGCTATTTATGCAATAGCGAAAATCAGACCTGAAAAAAATCAGGCCTGTACGGGACTCAAACCACTGACCTCTGCGATACCAGTGCAGCGCTCTACCAATTGAGCTAACAAGCCAGCTGGGAGCAGGCCGTTAAGTTGATTCGTAATAAACTGTCACGGGTTTATTACGAATCAACTTAACGGCCTGCTCCCAGTTGGCTTGTTAGCTCAATTGGTAGAGCGCTGCACTGATATCGCAGAGGTCAGTGGTTCGATTCCCGTACAGGCCTGATTTTTTTCAGGTCTGATTTTCGCTATTGCATAAATAGCGCTATCTACTGCGAGGATCGTGCATCATACGTATCTAATACCGCAGTTCAAAATATATGAACTTCATATATTCATTGTATCTTATTCAACTTTTATCCATAAAAATGCTGATAATTGACAGTTTTCTTTTTACCATTTTTTCTTCAGATTTTTTTCCCAATTTGAATTTTTTTTTTTTTCAATAAATATAGCGCAATATAGCTCTGTACAACTTTCGGTAAAATTGTATGGTTTTGCTATTCATGAGAAGAAATCATTAATTGTTTTAAACGTCTCATTTACTCAGTAATTGATTCATTTTTAACTATGTGAGTAGTTCACTGACTTTGCATGATAACTCCTTATCACAAAATTTGCTAAAGCTTTTTCATAACTTATGATAACACTGTCGTGCTTTAAGAGAATCAAGTTTAGTGAAAACGAAAAAGAAATCAAACACAGCTTTCAAATCCAATTTAGTTTTGTTATTCATAAATGTATGCATTAACATTATTTTAACTGGTCACATATTTGTTTTTTCTCATATTCAGCTAATGAACTGTTAACTGAGCTCACATGATAACTAACCAGTATACACCGAATGCAAATATGGCGTCCAATTTGAGTTGCCATTGTTCTCGACTGACTAGCCTCGTCTTCACGTGGAAATACAAAAGGATTATTACGTGTGTGAGAGGCTAGTCAGTCCATAACAATGGCAACTCAAATTGGACGCCATATTTGCATTCGGTGTATTGGGTTGCTATTTTATCTCTTCTCACTACCCATCAACTGCGGCAAGATATATATTTATGTAAAGCAAGTACTTAAGATGGCGGTCACGTTCCAAGAATTTTCATGATGTTCGAGTGTAACTTTAACTGCATGATACCTTTGTCGACAATTGGTAAAAACATAAATAAAACATAAACGTGCTACGCATGCAAGAGTGATATTTTGGATGAGTTGGTGGAGATGGGATACTTAAATATATAGTTGTTATTAGCCCTTTGATTCTCATGCGTGACCAAAACAGAAACGAAAGTTTTTCTTAGGCTTCTCGCACGTGACTAATGCTTAGCCACTTACCTCCGAGCTGTCCAATCAGCGTGCGTTAAAAGCACTATTCACTTCTGTGGTGTTAAATGAACTAAAAATTCAAGTCATTCGATTTACAAAAAAATTTTCACTGATCCTTCATTCAAAGTAAAAAAGGAAAGTTCCTTCTACTTTGGTATGGTTGATCTCTTTCTCTTTTTGGCTCAACAATGTAACTACTAGATCCGTGGTGTTTATTGTAAATAGTATACTGACGAAGTTAGTGTTAATTACACATTTCCAATTATACCACTCATTTGTGTAGCGCTCAATATTAGCACAACAATTTCTTTAGAAACTTACCCCGCCGTGTATGCATTCGGTTTCTCAAGATATGTAATTTGTGCTGTGTGTGTATTAAACGATTAAAGGTTTTTTTACGTCCTTTTTAAGCGTTGTTCTTTTGTAAAACATGACAATATCGTTCTCTAGTCAAAAAGCGCATTTATTTCTGCGAGACATATTTAAGGAACATGAACTCTATATTCAGAAAACGGTCCCTAAAAATCTTTCAATAACTTTTTTCCCTAAACATTACTAGGTGAATATCCACTTTACATTGTATGTTTGCCCGTTTTAGATCTAAAGGGAATTCCAAATCTTTACCTTTTTAATAAATCTTGCTTACATGTGCGCGTTAACACGAAGAAGAAATTTGAGAGAAACAGCTCTATAAAGTATTATCACATGACCCGGGATGGGTAAAGAAAACATACAAGTGAAGAGATCTATAGCTCTCCCCATACACAGACTTTCCCTTTAATTTCTTCCCTTCAATAGTTTTTCCAATTTCCTTTTCCCTGTAATTTAAAGCAAAACACGAACTTTTTGGCGGGGGAGTGAAAGGTATTGCTATCTGCCTGCAGTGAATTGCACAAAGGACGTTTTTTTCATAGATACAGAATTTGCTTTACAAGAATGTAAATGATTGTCAAAGAAATGAACAGGGATGAAAGAAAAAAGGAAATGTTTAAAGATACTATGACTAAAGGTCATAGAAGGATATAATGTTACCAGCATTTAGGTTACACAGTTGAGTCTCATCTCCAACGAATGCTGCTTTTAATAAGTCTAGATATGTGATACGAAACTTTATAACTACCTCAGCTTCCTTTCTTTCATAATTATTTTGTTAATGGCACCGGCGATGTGGTCGTTTGAGCACGGTTAGCGTTTCACGGTTAGCGTTTCACGGTTAGCGTTTCACGGTTAGCGTTTCACGGTTAGCGTTTCATCAAAAGGACTCGTCGTGGTCGTATTAAAAAGATATCTTATATACGGACGCCGGGGGGCCAGCCTCAGTTTGCTAAGTTGGCTTAGTTGCTCAGCCTGAAGCTCTGCTGATAAATGGATCCGGAGTAACACCACACAAACCAGAATGACTCAGTCCCCGCATAATTACCACTAGTTTATTTTGAGCTGAATTAATTTTGCGAGACTACAAAGAAACTGAATTGCCTCGAAGAATTTTATGATTCACGCTGAATAGAACTGAAATTTAAGGCTGAATTTCACTGTTTCATTTCAGTTTTCGATGGCCGTAAATTTACGGGAAGACAAAAAACATAAATAAATAAATAAAAAAAAACAACTGAAATAAGCTAAAGTGTTGTACGCGAAAAAATCGGCTAAAAATAACACTGAGTCTCCACTCAGAATTTATTTCATTTGAAAAAATAAAAAAGTAGCTATTGGACTACAGACATGCAAATGAAGAAGATGCACTTTACTGCTCATCTCAGTACTCATGGCCAGAAATCCGTGACAGCCTGGCCAGAAAAGGTTTTATATGTGAAACCCATTGCTTATGTTTAAAGTCAATTTTAGGTTTCGCTGTTGCCTATGATCGCGCCAAATCAGTGACAATAACGCGTGCAGTGCAATTGTCCGGTTCTAAGTTCAGCTCTGTTTACTTAGCCCAGCATTCAGTTGCGTTTCACATTGCTCAGCTTGTTGCACAATCATAATATATCGTGAAAATAACAACGTCTTGATGATACCTCTTCAATCTCTGCTACAAGTTGACAGTTTCTTACCTCTCGCATACCCCACGCCGGATTGTGCGTGCCGTGGACTTCTGTTTGTCTCTTGAGTCGATAGCATTTGATAAGACCGCTGAATACATCTACTATGTCCATAGACATCAGTCATGTCGAGGGGATCGCCTGTACATAAAATGAGAATAATTATCATATTTTTCAGACGATTTACAAAAGATTCGTCTACAAGATTCGTAAAGCTACAATTTATGACCAGTTCTTTAAAAATGGTCCTCCTTTTCCACATGGATCGTTGCACATACAAAAAGAAAAGAAATTTATTCGCCGTGTGAAAAAGTAACAATCAATGGACTCAAATGATATCGAAGGGACGATTTTACTCTGTTTGCCGCTTTGAAAACGCTTCCGGTTGAAAACAGCAAAAATCCTGCAGTATAAGACAAGTTCCAAGTATGTTTGATGTTCGACAAAATGCAGAATGGCGCAATTTAATTTGCACGTTGAAGTTGACCAATCGATAGCTTTGCAGAGCCCTGCCGCAAAATTAGTCGATCCTTTACACATTTCATCGATTCATCCCCGATGTAGGTTACATAAAATCTCAGTTTCATAAACCGTCAATAGAATAATCCCAGTTCCGATCTCTCGCTTGTTACTTTGATGGAGCAATATATTCATCCATAATCTGGATCGATCTTAATTTTTTCTAGCAAAAATCGTGAGACTTGGAACGATTGGACCATTTAAAGAGGTGACCCAGATACCAACTGACGCCACATTTGTATTTATAGAGAATGAAGCTATAAAAAACGCTTTCCGTTTGGTAGACAAACATTTATGAAGATGATTAACGCTGGAAAGTTGACGAACTTAAGCTAACTGAATTTTTTTAAACCACATAACCTTTGACGAAGTCCATTTTTATCGCACAACAACACAGCTTATTAACGTCTTCAACAAGGCGCTATGCTGTATACTTCCATTGTTTATAGTGCCACAGAACCGATCGCGAACGGGCTGATGGGCTCTCTGAACCGGCTACTCGTACTAGTTTTTCTTTGGCCTGGGATAACTTCCGAGCGATGACTGTTTAAAATAGCATCAGATAAAAGAATCAAACAAAAGCCATCCAAACAAAGAAACGTGGATTAATCTCAATCCAATGGTTGTCACAGAATTTAAAAGACAAATATCGAAAGGTAAATAAAAATTAATGTATACTGCAGGCAATGATGCGGCTCAAGAAGAAGAATTCTTGCTTCTTCGTCCATCTTACGTATGATCTCCCCTAGGATGAAACTGGTTGGAAAACTTTTTCCAAGTAACGCAAGTCCATAACTGCTTTGAAAAGCACATATAATCAAATGTTGAGATTTAAAGCCTAACTGATTCCCTATTAGCTTTTACCATTTGAGCCTGATGATCCTAGCCTTCGTGCGTCACTGACATCCCACTATAAAGCCAAGTGGCTTTTTATCAGTTTCTAGAGAAACGGCTGTGTTGTTTCGACGTGCTAGAGAAACAATTAGTTGGTCATCAAATTTATGTTGACTGAAGGCAGGTGAACTTCCAAAGCCAATTCTGAAAAGCTGGCTGACGCTCCAAACGTCAGCTTTTCATACAATTTGCTATGGCGGCTAACCCTACGTTTATCAACGTATAGTTGACAACCAACTATTGTAACGGCATTGTAAATCGAAACCGACTTTTTAGTCAAGCCTTCGCCGAAAATTTGGCCTACAATTCAACTGAGAGTGACACGTCTGTCACAGTCGCTGTCGGCCCTATCTGCTAGCCAAGCCAAACTTATTTCAGACACCGGTAATTTATCCTCGATGTTCGAGGACTTAGTGGCGCGGCGTTTGAACTGGGCGACATCAAAACAGCATCTGATACATCTCTAAACTGATAAGAAACCATGAGAAAGAACTAATAATGTTATGAAGGAGAAGTATTGCAACGCAAAAAATCAATCCGGATTCAGCTGTCTTCTGCCATTTTCAATTACGATTCAGTTAGCAAAAGAAATATTCTCCCTCAAGTGTACAAATGGTCAAAGGCAAACGTTTAACTTATGAGTTGTTTGGAGTAAACTTCTCAAGGGACAACAAGATCAGCATAAGGAATTGTTGCATGCTGTCGCTGTTACTCGATCGCTCGTTCTTTTATTTTTTCCCGTTTATACCAGATACCACATAGTATCGATCACCGTAAAAAAAATAATTAAAACAATAAATAATTTAATAAATAATTTGAAAAAAAAAATTGAGGAAAAAAATGAACGTAAAAAAACTCGTGCAAAGAAGAAGTCTTTGTAATACACCACGTTTATAGAATTTCTGAATGATTGTCATATGCATTGGACCTCCTACTTCACGGTTGTTTGATCATCAGAAGTGATCTGTCATTCCGTATTTCGACAGAATTTATAAATGAATCAAATGGCTGATGCAATAGGTCTCGTTGTTTCATCATTTCCTTCCGGCCCCAGTCACCCTTACTCTCAACGAGAAAATAAGACGAAGAGATCAACACTACATACAAATTCTTAGCCGAAGGGGGTCTAAATATGTTGATAAAAGTTTCTTTAGGTTTCCAAGATGCCCAATGTGTTAAAATCCTAATCAGTTCCACTAGAATGCTTTTCTTATGAGGCGCTGTTATATGAATAACTCTCTAATTGTCTGTATTCCTAGCTGGTCCATGGAAAGCACTCTGAAAGCGCCCAAGCTTCATACGACTACATGATCTGTATTGCACATGACAGTAAAGCAGGCGAATTAAGACTGAAAAAATATGAGAAAGACAGTGCTGAAAGTGATTTACTCCCATCCGCAGGCTATCGAGTCTAAAAAAAATGCTAATGAGATGATGAACGTTACGGTGGAAAGTTAAACTGCTAACTGAAAAGTGGAGTATGATTTGCCTTGCAACATTTAAAAGCGAGCGATCAGTCGCCTTAGAGCTCAACTGAGGTCTTGAGTCGGCTCAAGACACGTTGATATTCAAGTATAACCGGCTAAAATGAACAAAGAAAAAGATTAGGAGAAACTATAGTACTCCTCAATTAAAATCGGAGTGGCTCAGTGTTACTGCTGAACTGCCTAATCTTTCTATTATCTTTAGGTGGCTTAATGATTCTGGAATGGCCGGTGATTGCGGATTCTGTTGAGCAGCGTGCAGGTGAAGAAACATTTAATAGGACGGGCACTAGTTTCAAAAGTTAGCCCAGAAATCCCTTCCTCGTCTTATTTTAATCTTCCCTAACACATCTTTGGGCAATATTTATCTTTCGTGACTTCCCGTTCTCTATGGACGATTAAATCAATAGTAAAAAAAGCAATTCTGAAATTTTTGTAGAGAGCTGAATATCGCTTTTGTCCTTTGCTAATAATATGACCGGAAGTTTGGAGACGTTAAATACAACTAACCTCCGGCTAGTGCCCAACATCTTTGTTGGCTCTTTTTCGCTCAAAAATAGAAAAATGCAAGTCAATCAGAGACTCAGAAAAACTGCTGAGACAAACTGTAAGAAACGAGTAGGATATAAGTTACCATCTTCAGCATGAATTCAATTAGGTACCTCACAATCACTCCAAAGTTGGACGTGACAAACATAATCCGTCAAGTGGTCGTAGCCAAAAATTACGCGAATTAACCATTCGTTGACTCTAGTGGTTGGATCAATTACACTGAATCCTAACATTGTCATTGACAATTAATCGCCACTAAGTAATTATGCCGGTCACTGTTATAAGTAAAGAAATGACTTCCTTTGACATTTCCCGTCCAACTCAAGTCTCTAGACCACTCTTTTCAAGATAAAACACGTTCTTCGTCGCAAATTATGCAACACTTCCGACGAAAATCGGGGAAGGTGTTATTAAAAAAAAAAAAAAAAAAATTAGTTTTTTAGGCAATAAGTGTTTCTTGTGTAAACTTGGTGATGTAAAATGATACACAGCAAATACAATCGGCTGAAATTATCATAATATGTTTCTTTTATCGAAGTATCTGATCATTTTTCAAAGATTATGGTAGTTTTGGATTTTTGTCAAATGGCCATTGGATCCTTCAAGCATGTGACTAGAAAAACATCCAAGCAGAGAAATTAAAGAATTATCAAGAGGTCTAGAAGGGCTGGTTGTTGATCGAGCTTATTATTAGGGTCGTTTATCGCGTGACATTAAAGTGAAACACGAAATAATCAAAATGTTTTAAGAAAAACTAAATTACGAAGTTTGAAGAGTTTTACTGACGACTAAACCTGTGATTCTATGGTCCTTCTTTAAGGATTCTCTACACCATTTGCTGTTACGTGTACATACATGATACCTCCGGACCGTTTTCAACTCATGAGGACGTGCTCGAGAATCAATCAATTACAACTCTTTCTTTGCAAGACGCATACAGTAAATGAGAACACAAACTCTGAAGTAACCAGGCCTCATGATTTCACGCAAGCCAGAATAACGCGGTCATTAGTGAGTTATATAATCACTTTTTCCTATTGATAACAAAAATCGTCAAACTTACATTTCCAGTGCTTGCCTTATCGATCCGAAAGCGCTCTCTCTCTCCTCGCTAAAACGCACAAAACCCTGGGCTATGCAAATAGAGCCATCTCTTTCTCCTCTCGGAAAAAAACTCCGGGATAAAACGCTGTTAATGTTTTGCTTCAGTGCTAGTCAAGTACAAGTCGGTAAGAGATAAGTTAAATAAATAACCGCCACCTGTTTCTGATAAACTCGTTCTCTCCCCTCCCTCTCTCCCGCAGTTTTTTTTGTTTTGTTTTAATTTTTTTTTTTACGCTTATCAGCGTTCATCATCTTCAATAATAATGCCACGTCTAAATCACGAGGTGTCATGGGGTGCGTAAACATACATGATATGAATCAACTTGTCAATATATAGAACTGCGTCATGACATTCTTAGTTGTTGTAAAAATAGTAATTTACGAATATAAAAGTGAAAATTTGCTGACGATCATATTTGTAAATGATTGATAATGCTGATAACCCTGGATGCGCCATGCGCTGCAAGGCATTAAGTTCATACACTGGGTTCTCGGTTTTGAAGGCCGAAGTTTCCTTTCACTGTTATGGCTTCTTGAATTAGAAGTTTCCAGCACCTCTGAAAGGTCCAATACGGTCGCGATGGATGCAGCAAATAAAAATGATATTTTTATGTGCATAGCCTTATTTTAAAATTCGAAATATTCATCGTACCTTGAAATCAGACGGTGACGATATGAAAATATAGGTCCACAAGACGAGAAATATTACTGACCAAACAAAATAAAGAATCGAGTGTCTGGTATGCACAGCTGCAAAACACCGACTCATGGCGTGATGTGAGGATTATGCAACCTTATTTATGCATCAGAGTTACTCAGGCAACACAACTCTAGGTGCTTCAGTTGGAGTGCATACCTTCACTGCAGTCAGCCGGGTCCGTCTGATCAAAGAGCAGAATTGAATTGGCCGGGCTTTCCGCGTTTGTATCGCCGGCACCAGCAGAATATTCTAGTCAGTACTCTTCACAGCAAAAACTGTCTGGATAGGTCAGAGAAAGTAAACAAGACCTTCCGTTGCTGACGGAAAGATTCTCAGGGGATATGGATTACAAAGTAATTCGTTTTACTAAGCATAGACGGGTGACCCTGAAAGTCTATCATAGCTGTATAGTAAGGTTCAAACAGTGATATGCACTGAAATTTTGAGGTGAATGAAATTCATATCATCACAGAAATAAAAGTTTAAAACTGTTTACATTTTCAAAAGTTCTCGTAGTGTTAAGAGGGAAACATCGCTATTTTTTTTCTAAATCTGAAATCTAATATTACTGTATCCCTACCGAAATACCAGCTACCTAAGTAAAGCTTCATTGCAATGTTACCAAAAAACGGTGCTACCTGACATGGAGGCCGGCATGAATTTTCTGGGTAGTCTAGTCTCATATATAGGGGCATTGGATCTCTTGATTCCTGACGATAATCCGTTTCCGAAGCATTGTTGGACGGCAGCCAATATCAATATACCGAAGACTCAGTTTCTTAAGAGCTGAAAAAATTGCCACTACAGACGTTGTTGTACAGTGCTCTGCATGGAGTCGCCTTTTCTTTCTTTCGCTGGCTGAATCGATGAACTGTTGCCAAAGAGAAACTGAGCCGTTTATCCCTTCAATCCACGTTAGCATAAAAACTCGTAACAATCCTCGACCCGTCCCACGCTACTTGGAGAAAAATGTCAAACCTTAAGTGGTACCCTAACTCTGCAGTTTCAAATACATTCAAAGTCCCCGGTGTGTCGAAATAAATTTTTGAACCTTTTCTTTCGGCGCTGTGTGACGTTAAACGATTAACAAAGAAAGGCTTCCTTTCCGCTTAACTTGAATCAGACGACAAAACAGATCTGATGATGGTATTTTTCAGCAAGTCAGTCATTAATCATCTTAATTTTTGAGATGCCATGAAAAATCTGCCCGGAATATGTTTATCGCATGTTGCTATCTTAAATGTCAACCCGCTGAGTCTAAAGAAAACGCATCGCTAAAAAAAGAGGCGCTAAAAATAGTAACAGGCGTAAGAACGAAATAATAAAATCAACTTCCCAACAGTATGAATCAGTTCTGTTACAAGAGCTGAAGGGATTAACCACATTAATATTAGCTCACATTCTCGCTTGCGTTGTTTACAGGGAAGTGAAAGTGAAATATCAATATATTACTGTGATGAAATGAAGGAACAAATGATACACTACCAGGCTTCAAAGATAAAATAGGCAATTCTGCTCAACTTTTCAAATTTACCATGACGTGTTTAGAATTGTAGCTTTCGTTATTCAGACTAGAAGAAGTCCCCAATGAACATGGAAATACTAACAACGTGGATCTTCATCATTGCGACATTGTAATGAATATTGCACAAGATATTTCAGTCTTAAACTTGACACAAATGCTATAAGTAGAGCTCCTTTATTTTCTCCATTCAGCAGACACAGACCTAACGAAAACTTTGCGGTCACATGCTACATCGCACGAACTCTTTCAAAACAGCGTGTTTTGATAATTAGATTATGAGTAAGCATTTTATAGCGAACCGAGTCAAAGAGAGTGAGGCCGGTTTCTCATCACATTTTCATAAAATGTTTGTCTTAAAGGTTGCTGAGCATTAATAGAATTACCTTAGATTCAACTTCAAGTCAAATGACATCGAGCCTCTGATCGAAGGCTTACATCTGCGCTTCCTCACTTACCAGATGGAGTCGTTCTTGCTGCCGTATTATTAGTCTTCTATCAGCTGCTTATCCAAAGATAAACAGACGTTCAATGTATCATTCGCGACTGCAAAAGCACTGGTGTGTGTTAAACAGTGCATAGTCCACAGTTTGTCGATTACCATTAGAATAGAACCAGAATAAACAAAGGCGCCAAAATTTCCCTGCGTCAGAGATGGCTCCAAGCAGAATTTCGGTTCTGCGATGGTATGCGCTCATCATATGTCGGTTTGCGTATGCTGCAAGGTTGCAGCAGACCAGGAAGTAGATAATTAAGATCTTAAACCACATCTACCGGCGGAAATTATCCGAAAAAATGGCAAAAATTGCTGTAAGCCCGCGTAAACAAGCAGAAGTGTGATACCTGCTGCCCTGGGGCATTTATTCTGCCGCTTAATGAATGAAAATTCGATAGCAAAGGGTGGATTTTTTACATCATTTTTTCGCGCCGTCGGTGTTAACGCCGCTGGACTAGTAGCAACCTTGGACTCTCCGCTTTCACTATAAGCTCCTGCCTTTACTCCAATAATTCAAGTTATATCACGTTCCCATAACCGATGTTTTATTGACCCTATCCAAAGAAAGTCTCCATGGAATAAATACAGTGAAACTAGAATAAAAAAGGTGCGAATAAACTACAAACAAATGGGGAAATAGCGAGATCAGCGCTCCGAAAGTCACAAAAAAGAATATTAAAAATTTATGAATTTAAGTGTAAAGCTCCGTTCAAACGGTCGTGATAGTCGACGATTTGTTGATAAAATCACGCAATGAAATTGAAACTATCTTCTAATATCTCGACCGTTTGAACGGGGCTTAACGAAAAAAACGATGTGGTGTACAATTTTCTCTTAAAAAACATAAGCCTTAGATTCACAATGTTTAAGTGATTAAATTAACACTACGAAAGTAATGTTACAAAGTGAGCGATAAAATGAGTAGTGTGAAGGTAAAAATAATTACCTAGGAGATGCCTTAGTCACTAGGCCAACCTAACTTGATTTTCGGCACTTGACCAAACTTCATGTGAATTGAAATTGACCAGAAAACCTTGTGTCAGTGTACATTCTCTTGCGTCAACTGAAATCAACCGGAAAATAAAAAAAAAACACCTTTCATGTCTGGCTGTCACCATACTTGCGCGCGGCGATATTTAAGTTGTCTCAGCGCGTGGCAGCTATATTAAGCTGTTTAAGCTATTTAATCTTATTAACCAACTGCAAAAAGTAGAGTACAAATAATGTGTGAATAGAGTACAAATATGTTTGTGTTATTGACCAAGCGTGAGGTCGAGATGGCTAGATACTGGTATTTTTTTTGCGTTTTAATGCATAAAAATGCAAAGAAAGAAAGAGCCTAATATCCAGCCATCTTGACCGAACAAGCTTGGTCAATAAAGGATTTATTATATGGCGAAAGGATTTCAATATAATAAGAATCAAGCATGACTTGACTATTTCGAGAGTCGGGAAAGAAATCGAACTGTGTTTGTAGCACAATAAACCCATGGAAGCCGTTTAATGTTTTCTTTATTTTTCGCTATTTTGTGACTCTGTCAACGACATTGTAAAAAAAGTTACGAACTTTGTAGTTCCGTTCTACCCAATCTTTTTCTTGCGTGGGATCAAGGCGGGCGAAAGATGGGCCCATCATGCCCGCTCAGGTAGCCAATCAGGACGAAAGATTCACTTCATAATGCCTACGGGCGCTGCCGGCTGTATATTAAGCTGCGATATTGTACAATTAGTTATTTTGTACGTAAAAGAACTTGTTTAATCGGTCGGCTGCGCACCCTAAGCTTCCTTATCTGCTTCACTTTTACTGCATTAGGAGAAATGAGCAGAAAATAAAGCAGTTGGATAGTAAATAACTTAATAGACGTTTTGGTGTGTAGTATAGCTTAGTATTTAACTCGTTGTTTGTATTTTGACTCGCTTTACGGGCTAATCAAAATATTGCACGACTTGTAAAAACACTCAGCAATACGTGCACTACACACCAAAACATGCAATAGCGCGATGCTCACTAGTTACTAGTTTGAGCACTCTGGCACTACCTTGATAATACCACAAATGTGGAATCATTTGGCAAACAAAGCTCTGCTTTCATGTCCAAATTGAGCACTGTGGGATGAGTCATCCCCGCTAGCACTGTGCTAACTTGAGCACTATGGCATGGCTTAGACGATACCACAAGACTGGTATCGTTTGGGGATCCATATCGGTTCTCCCCCATCCTAGCATCAGCACCGCACTGATGAGGCCCAGAAGGCCGAAACGGTTCCTTTATCATAAAGTAAGTCAAAGCGTTTTTATTTTTTTCCGTCCCACTGACTCTAAAATGAGTATCGCCACCCATATGACGGTTACATCAAACGGTTAAGGTAGCGATAGTATGTGATGCTAATCAAGACTGGAAGTTGGACCCCACAACTGTGTGAATATGGGGGAGCTACATGAAATATAATGGAAATTTCCCTGCTGGTAGGAATTCGAATCAAGTCCAACCAGCTGAAAGTTTATTCTGCTAAATTGCCACGAAGGAGGACAGTGATTTCTGCCGCCTGGGTTAACAAAAGCACAAGGATAAATACGTTACAAAAGAAGGTCCCTGAGAATCTCTTCGTGGAAAAGTGATCAGTGGTCGAGGGAAGGCATCGATTCTGAGGCTATGCTTCAATTCATTTGAGCCCACGTAATAAGATTCGTTGGTAAGGCCGGCATCTGAAGTGGCTTTCCACCCGGTACTGTGGCCGAAAATTATCCAACTCGTATAGTTATTCGTCTTCTATCTTTTTCTAACAAAGATTCAAGTATTCGATTCGGAGACGTTCTGAGACTTTTTGCTTCAGAACACTCAGCCGCTCAGAAGGCCATATTGTCGCCAAGCCTTGGCCGCGAAAGGAATGGGAAAGAGAAAATTTCACAAGTTTCATCGCAGCCTTCTTTACACTCTGCCGCACCGCTTTTGAAAACTGGAGCCAACTTCCCGCAAAGTAAATACAAAACTAATTCACTTGTGCCTTAGTCTCGTGGACGTTCTCGTGTCCATTTGTATAGGTAATCGCATGGGGCCGAGTAAAATTAAGGATTAATATCACTTGTGTTTTCGGAAGTTGCTGAAATTGCCCGCGACTCGGGCAATTTCTGAGACCTCCGAAAACAACGTGAGTGATATTAATCCTTAATTTTACGAGGAACCATGTGATTACTTGTATTTAATATAAGGGGCAATATGTTTTCTTACTGATCTCGCGCAAAACGGGACGCCATTGTTACAAAACAAACAGAAATTTCTTTACCTTGGCAGCCATTGCTAAGCGATTTTCAGCCAATCATTTTCAAGTAATTTTGTCCGGGGCAATTACAAAAATTAAGAAAAAAATGCCCTCTGTCTTGACCAATCACAATCCAGTAATTTTGCCCCTTACATGATAAGGTTGGTAATTCGTATGTATTTACTTCAAGTTCTCACTGGCTCTTAGAAGGAACACTTAAATTAAAAGCACTCTAACTGAAATTTATGAAGGTGGCGAAGGGTTAAAGTTTTCACGAGACACGTGACCGAGGCAAAACTTTTAAATATGTAACGGATAAGGCGTACTTGATTCGTGAATTCAGGAACTACCCTGAGGTGCGATTTGCCTTCTGAAATATACGTGACTCAATCATTTTTTCTTTCATTTCGTGAAAACCTTAAGAGTTCCCTGAAACTTCGCATGCAAGAAAAGAAATTTGAAGTTTTCCTTTTCAAATTCGTTGTATGTCACGCGTGAATTTTTTTTTTTTTTTTAATTCGTGCCTGAAACGGAATCAGCACCCCCGCTTTAGAACATTCATTTACATGTGGTTGAAGTGTTTTTGAAGAAACTAAGTAAAAATAACCGGGTAAGGAGTTCAGCAAATGCTCAATAGAAATCCTAAGGGCAAGGTGTCACTGTTTGGGTATGCTATCTTGTCGAATTTGTCGTTAAACCGCCATTTCTATGCTCTATATGGAGAATGACAAGTCTAAAATAACAACAAATTCTAAAAACAAAGTCTTTCATTACCTGAAACACGCCTACTTGAAAATTTGAAACGTTCAATGCGAGGAGCAGGCTGAAATGTCCGCACCAGAGCCACGTAAACTGGATAAACGATCGATAAAACGAGACATAAACAACTATAGCGACACAACGACTCAGTAGGACTGTCTCTCTCTAGTGCAACCGTGGGATGGATAGCTATAAAGTTCACATTATATAATACCTCAGACGGCTGTGAGAAATTCTTTAGAAGTAGTTTGGAGCACCCTAGCAGCAGAACTACAAAAGAAAAATTATTTGAGTGAAATGTGCTAAATTGAAAATTAGCTAAACATCGAAACAATAGTGGCCACCCAGCTGGCGAGAATGGTTAATTGTCACCTGCCACTCTGATATCAAAGTAATTAAGACATTTTAACACCAACGTAGCTCTTTTTTCTTACCATAAAACGTGTTTTCATCGATAATTTGAACCAGTCTGTATTCTTGAATCCATTTGTTCCGGTAAATTTGATCGTGACGATGTGATCCTGCTTGCTGTACATAGATATACATAAAAAAAAGTTTTATTCTCCGCGAAGATTGGGTTGAAAACTGTGCAAAAACACATCTCTCATTAGATGAAAATATTTTTGAACATATCTCCAGGCTGACTGAAAGTTTGATGGCGGATTTTTAATCAGTGTTTATTAAAGCTAGAATTTTGCGCCTCTCTTTGTCGGCTGCCATTTGTAAACAACTGTAGAAAATAAATGAAATATGCATGGCTGAAACCTTCCTAAAAAAAACTGAAAGCAAATAGTTTGTCAACATAGAGAAAAGCGGCTGAGTGAGTAACTTGTCTAATAAAAAAAAATAGATTCAAGAAAACAATGTTTAAAGTGGAATAAAGCCAAATAATTGAAATTACTGGTCAGAATGATTTAATTAATGTCGAAACTCTCCCCTTTGTTAGCTGTTAAAGCTGTGTCAATTTAAAAGAATTCCTTTGGCAAATGTACTTCTTAACTCCCAAGAAATACATTTGTCTGTGGATCATCGTAGTAAAGGAAATTAAAATTAATCCAATGTTCAAACTAACTGAAAATTTGATTTAATTTTTTTTTTTNCACTATCTATACACACTGACATTTCCGTACACACGTCCTACGTCATCTATCATTACCTCCAGTCCTCCTGAAGACTATTCTTGTCCCTCCACAAGATACTCGATGAGACCCCGTGCTATCAG